ATATCGTCCTGCCGTCCTTAGTACTAAGCTAAAACCCGTAAAAGAGTTTGGTGCTAAGATGCCGGCAAAAAGTCTTGGAGTGTGCCAAGTCCACTATTTGACACAAGACATTATCATGACAACTATGAAGGAGGATCTAGGAGAGGTCGCCATGGCAACACGACTATATTGCGAAAAGTAGATCAAACCGATTCTGGGCAGTGAAAGAAGGCATCGGCCAATTAGAGGCCACATCATCTTGGTCTTTATATCTACGATTTATAGACAATTATTTTTCAGGACTACTTCTCAATACTACTAATAAATGAAATGCAGGGAATTGGCTAATTAGCCCAAGTACGGGCAGTTTGACCGATCAACACTATTTCTGATGTTGTTTTTTAGAAGTTAGGCCAAACATCATAAGAATTTATAAAGATAAATTAACACTTTCCTTCGCCTATACCCTTCTCTCGAGAATTTTTAAACCCCTTTTTATAGATCAAGATGCTTTAAGGTTTGTTCACATGTGGTAGTTCCATCCCAAAACAATGCCTCAAATATTGGACTTTCTGAACACACCATCAATACAGGACACTAAAAAGAATGGTCTAAAGCACAATGTTTTGCAGAATACCGACGATTAATAGTTCATCATGAGAAAGAGGGGCCGATTGTGCAAAAGAGTCATAAGTTTTCATTCTAAAGCAAAACCTTTTCGGTTTCCCGATTAGGTCCAACCCAAATTTTGCTTCAAATCAAAATAAGCAGTCCTTCTAAATGATCTAAAATTGTGAATAGCGGGAACGAGTGCTAGAAAGAGATTGAAAATAACCTATGACTGTTGGATAGGATTTGGGATAGAGAGAGAGAGAAAAAGAGCAAGAGGTGAGGGCTTGAATAACCGCGGATCTGGTTAGGGCTCACACACACTTCTAGTGACTAATGAGCAATGCATGAACACTGAAATAGATGAAATACCTCAACATTGTAGGATCAAAATGCATTTTATTTTAGTAGGAAAACAGCTCGCCATGCATATGTGCATGAAATAGCCGGCTACAGCATAAGATTGGTGTTATCAGGGCGAACTCCCAGAATACAAGTTGGCTGGCTTTTCTATCACTTTAGTGATGACAATTTCCAGCATCGGACTGAGAAGACAATTTTGTACTAAGTTCATGATACGACGCCAGAATTCGTCATGATTATATTTGCAAAGGATACCGAATGAGATGATATACCGATATCATACCAATTATATACCTCGAGAGAAGACTGCGACCATACCGGCCTTCATTCCCTCGATAAAATTGTGGGTTAATTTGAAATATAAAAGACAAATAGGATCATATTCAGTATTTTTAGAGCTTTAAAGAATGGCTAATCTCTTTAAACATGTTTTTTTACGATTAAGACATGAAAGGGAATCATCGGAACCGTAGCACGAAAGACTGAGAGCTTCTTCGTATAATTCAACAGTTTCATCTGCACGACAACCCTTCATTGTTTTTCGATGAGGTCGATCTACAAATCCGACCAACCCAACGTTTCTTTGAAATTGAAACTTTATTAAATTGAAATCACAAATGCAGACTGTTAGAGGATTGACATTTTACATATTGGAAGTTGGACTTATCGAAATGAAATAATGACTCGACTTTATTTAATTTTAGGCTAACGTTTCGTTGGAAATGAAGTAAAAAACTAAACATTTCGTTCCATCAAAACTTCATAAAAAGCCCCATATCATCACAGGCTAAAGCAGAGTTTTTTTTGTCTACGACGACGAGACCAAAAGTGAGGACCACAATTTTTAGGCAAAGCTTCATCAATGAAACGTATTCACCCTATATCGTTTAAGCGACTGAAGGATTGATAGTTGAATTCCCCCACAATCTGATGAGTAGGCACATTGCATTTATAATGACCAGGCTGGATTTGAATGTAGATTTAATCTTAACTCAGTTTCATCAGCTCCACCAGCGGGACTCGAACCCGAGTCGAGGTAGTACCGCGAATAGTGTTGATAGCCTAACCTCAAGGCCAGACTGATTCGAATGTCCCTGGTTCATGCTACAGAAATGCATTTCACGAAGGCTTAGGACCTTCTCATATTAACTTTATATGGTTATACCAACTAAAAAGAAATGAGCTCAACACATCTCATATATATGAGACGGATTATAAAATAAATAAAAAATAAGTAATGAAGTCGATTGCTAAAGCAAATACAACTTGATTTATCGACAATCCCACCACATAATGTGATATGGTAAAATGCTTGACCTTCCTGGAAATTCACATCTGCCCTGTGACCCATTGGCACTCCTCGCGTTTACGCATCGAGACTATTGGCTACACTTTCCGGATTTGAGTCCTGCTGGGAGTGCTGGCGAGAAAATGAGGCAAGATCGAAACTTCAGTCCAATACAACTTGGATGAGAATACCTTTTGGCAAAGAAAGGCTATGTGAAATTTAATGGAAACGTAAGGTCTACTCATATGATTGAGGGAAAATTCAACTATCAGTCATGCATCACCTTAAATTATATATGATGAATATATATGATCAATTAGTAGTCTCGAAAACCTGCTTATACAACGAGGAAACCTTCTTCGAGTTTGGAAGTGGTCAACTTACAAAACTTTCACACACAATGAAATCTATACCAACATGAAACGATTATGTTGCCATTTAGAACCAAGGCTTACATCATGTTGAGAAGTAGCCTTGAGAAGAGCATCAATTTGGTGTTCATTCCAGAAGTGGATTCTCATTCAAGCTGAACTACAGGCTCGAGCTCGTCTGGGGGTACTCAAAAATGACGCCGGGAATATCGGGCCGGACGGAAGATACATTTAGAGATGAACATGTCACTATACGACCACATCTCCGGACCCCACTACCATTGATTTAGAGGACAGATTCAACCAATCCTTCCCAAATTCTCTGATTCGACTCCTGCTCACAATTAGAACCAGACAAACCGGTAGTCGAAGAAACCCAAAACATCACAAGCAGCAGAAAAAGCAAGAACAACGCAATGTTGTAGCGCATTTTGCTGTATGATATATTCAAGTTGTATTTGCTTTAGCAATCGACTTCTTTACTTATTTTTCTATTTTATAATATCCGTCTCATATATGAGATGTATTCACCCTATTCCGTGTTGGTTTGAACCTCATATACATGATCTACTGATAGTCTAAAAAACCTGCTTATGAAACAAAATTATAAGTAATGTAACCTATTCGTGTAGCAAATATAAATTTTCTTAGTCAAAAATCCCACCATACAATGTGATATGGCAAAATATCTGTCCTTCCTTGAAATGCACATCTGCCGTGTGACCTAAGGCCATTCGTGACAGTGTAGCGCGATAGCTAACGTGTTGACTTTATACGCTGCACTACCACAAGCAGAATTCGAGTTCTGCTGGGGATATTGAAGAGATCTAGACGAGGTCGAAGCTACAGTCAGATCCATCTTGATTTGGGAAGCAAGGCAATCTGAAATTCAATGAAAACTTCAGGTCAACTCCTTTAAACGTGGTACAATTCAACTATCCGTCTCTTTATCACCTTAAGCGAGATAGGGTGATTATACTCCATTTACATGATCTACTGGTAGCCTTGAAAGCTGTTTATGAGCGAAAAATAAATAGATCCATCCGATTACATGGACTGACTCGAAAGGTTCCGTGGGCGCTGTCTGGTCAACGATGTTTTTAGCCAGATTTTTGCGGTCTTTGTAGGCACATTTTGTTGGATCAGGTAGTCCGCACCCGATACCATCTCTCTGAGGCACGGAATTGGGAGCCAATGTCCTGCTGACGCTCACCCCTCGGTTTGTTGCTCATTAAGTATTTTATGTGGGCTTGGGAAACTGTTCCCCGATTGGCCGACAACGCACAGTAGATGAGAGTTGTAGTCCACTTGATAAGCCACTTTTCAGTCTTCCCTTGAAGAGTTTCGCCTTTATAGACCATTCCTTCACATGCTTGCCCCGACTGGATTGATGCCAGCTGTAGTCAATTGCCTCCACAGCATCATATTTCTCGGACACACCACATGGCCAGGTACCACAAAGGCACCAGAATGGATATTTAAACTCTTCTCCCCTCAGCCGTCAAGGCGAAAATCCTCGCTTTGTGTGCCTGTGCCTTGAGCACAAGGCGCTTTCCCCTCCGGAAAGATGGCAGAATTCTACCGTTTTGTGCTTGCATGCGCCCAATTGGCTATCATTTGCACAGTCAACCTTTTGTGTGTATGCCTATGCTTGTGGACACACGTTGCTCACATGCGTCTTAGTGCCACCTTGACGATCTGGTGTATTTGTAAGTGTGTGTGTGTGTGTGTAAAAAAGGATGCTGTTGTTTTCTTAATTAGCCTCTGGCACCAACAGAAATACCACTTCTCACGATGTCTCCAACCTGACGGGCTCGGAGTGACTGTATCTCCTCCCCCCTGCCCCAGTGTCATCCACCTATTCCGGACGGTCTCTGCCAGGCTGTATGATGGGTGTGAAACCCAAGCCGTCTTGGCCAGAAGGGCAATAACAAAAAGCCCCGGAGACAGACTTTCGTGGGGTGTAGAGGGCAGAGGGCAGAGGACGGCGGACGGCGGACGGCGGATTCTGTGCATTGTTGAAGCGAAAGATTTTGGCTGGACGACCAACGGGATTAGGAGATGTGGAGGCAATTTTCTGCCAAACAAGCTCTAAAAAGATATGAAGACCAAGATGGTGTGGCCCCATTGGCATAGTCGCACTTTTATAAGCTCTAAAAAGTCTGGAGGCAGCAACTTTAGACTAGCCGAGCCAATTAGGTACCGTCGGTACCGATGCTCGTCGTCCATGATTGTAGCTCCAGACAGACGGCACTGTGAACAGCTCGATGTTTGTCGCATTAGAACGCTGGTCTTTCGTACGAGATGTCCCTTTGTGTTGCCATAACAACTGGGGCGCAGGGAGAGAGAATAGCGCAATGATGCTGAACTCGTGGCTGACGCGAATCCGCCAGCTCCAATACAGGGGCTTCTGTCTCACACTTCACGTTCAGTCAGTGGTAGCTCCAGTTCCAGACCGTCAGGACATTCCACAAAGGCGGCTTCTTCGATGCAGAGCAACCCTCGGAGAGCAGGCTTCTTTCAGACTTACGTTGAAGACATTAGTCTGCTGGGGATGCTGCTTTGAATCTCGATGCTCGGGTGGATCACATTCATCAGTTGCCTTGTCTTTGCATGCCCTAGGTTCGCCATGAAGGGCCAGAGATGGCAAGTTGGCTTGTCTTTTCAACAGAGAAACCAGAAGCCATGCCGAGCTAGTTGATATTCCATGCTGCCAGTACAGAAGCCGTTTTTGCATCCTCATCTCATTTTACCTCCAACTCTGTGTGCTTAGAAGTGTGTGCATAGCTCTATATATGTGTGTGTATGTTTGTGAATGTGGGTGTTTGCTTGTTTATTTTTCAGATGGTACTTGCCTAGGGGTGGTGCTGACAAGATTGGGGGGATTGGAGAGATGACCTGGCGAAAGGAAATGGCCTTCCCACGCTCTGGCTGCTATAGTCAAAATCCAAAATGGGCTGTTTGTTGTCTTTTTTCAGTCAACAGTCTACAAAACGGTCTGAATATGGCAAGAGAACCCAGTTGCTTAGGCTGGCCCGAATTTAGATCTTTCTTGCGCGCACACACATAAACATAGCCAACAGCATAATCGGTCACTTTCATGTACAATGTTACCCATTTCAGCAGAGATTTTTCCCCCTTTCCCTCATTCCTTCCCCCCGCTTACTCTCTCCCTACAACCATCTATGCTCTTTAAGTCGTATTGTTGGATTCCAATCACCCACTACCAAAGCTGGAGAATGGCTGACCCTTAGGATTCTTGAGAAAATATCCACGTGGCCGACAAATAAACAAAAATCATACAAGAGGGCAACACCGAGTTATGCATGAGTATGCCATGAGTAGTATATGCATGTTGTTAACTCTAGACGGTGACATGTGGCTATACAATCTTGCATTTAAAAGTCTAGTTCATTTACATCTAATATCGGCGTTCTTAGGGCATAGAAAGCCTCTTCAAGGCATAGAGTTGAAGATAACTTTTGGACCAAGCGAAATAAGTCATCATTTACAAAATTTTCTTGAAAATGTGGATAAAAGGAGGAAAAGGGTCTACTTGCAAATGGTTCTCATATAGTAGGCAGTTAAGTAGATTTCGATGCTACCACTATATCTTCCATTGGGACGCACTATGTTATAAATGATAGATCCACAATCGTACTTATAAGCCTCATAATACCAGTAAATTTTACTTTATTCTGCCTTCAAAAAGGTTTTCCTCTTCAGACTGGACTGCATTTTCGACCACCATTTTATGCTTTACCCGTTTTCAATTCACTTAAGGGATTCTAGTGAGACTCTGGTATGGCCAAAATTATTTTTAAACTCGGTTGAGAAGTACAATTGAGAGGCAAAGCCCCTGGATCAAAATGAGTTTATTAAATGTATCGGACAGCCGGAGGCCAAATAGGAGTTAACGAAAGTCATAAAAATTGATTTTATAAATACCCAAGCTGGCTTGGAAACAAGTGAGGGTAAATCATAGGTATGAAAATGAAGATGATGTCGCCTCAAGTTTGGTCAAAGTCTTCTTTAGTCGTATGGTGTTTGTTTGACTAAGTATTCGCAAGAGGAGAACTTGTTCGAATATACCTAGTTTTCCTAACTCTGCCAGAGTATCTATGATAATATCCAATATCAGAC